ATTCACTTATTCCTAAAAACTGTAAAAGATTGACTTTAACTTACGTAAAATAAATATACTTAAATTTGTTATGATATTGCAATGGCAGTCTTTTTAATATACGACACATGAAATATATACACTTTACATACTAACAGTAGAGTTTACACACTGAAACCAATATTTACATTAGGCTGATAAATTCATTCAAAGTTGTATGTAAAACATAATTTCTGAAAAGCATGTCTCTACATTTCCTCCAAACAATAACGATTCGAAATATTTTTAATTATAGTTAAATTTCACAGAGTATATTTTAATATGATTGTTATTTTTCATTTTGTCAAAAAAATAAAAAAGAGAAGAAAAAAAAATATATATAATGCACACAGTAACGTTAGAAGAAATTGACATATTTGTACTCGTAATCTGATTATTGGCACAACATTTCATCATGAATATTTCTTTCCTTAGTAAAATGCATGAAAAAGATGCATAACGTATTTGTATCTTGATGATATATCATAAAAATATATAAATATAAATAACTTTGAGATATATTATACTTCTTTCAACAATACACTGTTTGATCAATAAATGAAAATTGCTTTATGTCTCTCTTAGTACATAAATATTGTCTATGATCAGATGTTATGCAGCAAGCACAGTTTTAATCCAATGGTTATCTTGTTGGCATAACACGCAAGGCTCCCAGCAGGATAACATATCTCTGGTGATCACATACTTTTAAATATCTCCTTCTTTATCTATGTTGCTTGAACAGAATAGTGATGATTTGTTTTCCAGTAATAAATAAAATCATTTAGGGAAGCCATTTTTCTCTATTGTACTGTACGGCAGCTTCTACTTTCCAATACTCCGGCTAACAGCGTCGGTGTTTTCCGGAGTAAAGAAACATTCAAAACGTGTACATGGAATATATATAGACTACAATACTTCAATACTTTTATGCCTTATTTCACAAATCTCATGATTTAAATTTCAGAGAATTTTCCGATACTCAAAATAGGAACATTTATATTTTCGGGAAGCTATAAAATAAAGTTTTATTTACCGCTACATGTGGTGACAAAATTCTAATATAATTGAAGGAAGTTATGAGAGTACTTGACGAGTCGTTATCTATTTGCCTTCTATTCTTTATGTGATAACTTGGAATTGGTATCAAAACAGTGTTTACTAGACATGAACTTGTCGCATTAAAGGATCCCATCTTTGGTTGTTTCTTATTACATTTATGAACTCAAATTTAAACTTTAAGATCCTATATTGTACAGATTGATTTAATTTTATATTTCCACAGCGGATACATAAACATTTCTTGAACATGATTTTGTTGGCTCAGACTGAAAGCCACCGACGTATTTTGCAGCTTATTGATGCAAAAGATTTTATATATTTTTAATAATAACATAAATACTTAATGCTACTATGCTGTTTGTTTATTGCTATGTTGCTATAATATGCATACTGATGGCATGAAATTTGCATATAGATTACGGTATGTTATTAAACTGTCTGTACACTGCAGACAATAATATCATTTACATCAATAATAATTATACTTTACGTTGTGTACATGATTTGCTGCAACTTATTATATTGATATTACAGACTGTTTTTAAATTTGGTTAAATTATATGGTATGATGCAATTTATCAAACTTAAAGACATGCATATTGAATTCTTTCTGATATACGTTTGTTATACATTTGACTTTTCAGACTAAAATTACTAGGAAATTACGCCCAGAAATACACGTCTTATAATTTATTCATTGGACATATAAATGACATGAATAAAAATTAATCCTGGATTTCATTTTAGTTTCTGAGCAAATTGTGCAAATTTTTATTTTCTTTTGAAATTACTCTGACTGGGTATACTGATTAAGGATTAAAATGATATAAATGAATCTAAAACTAATCTAATCTTCAATTATTATATATCCATTCTTTGGCTTTCTTTTTATTGAGGGGGATGCGGGTCGTTTTCTTGGCCAATTGATTAACCACTTTCCACTCGCAGTTGTGGGTGCAAACCCCGTCTTGGATTGACCGTGACCTGTCTGATGCATTCTTCTTGACGCCCAGCTTCGGCGGCGAAAATAAAGATTTCACAATAAGTGATTATTATGCTAACGTCCAAATCGATAATTTGTTTACATACAGTGTATATAATATCCAAATTATGGAGACACTTATTTTCCTTTGATAAGTAATTTATATTCCCCTGAAGATTGAAACAATGTATTACATATCATACAAACCTTTGTATTATTCACCATTAAATATTCATGACACAGAACAAAGAAGCATAAATTCAATAGTTTTGTTATAACATTGTAATATGAAACATAGTCACATGTGATATTTTGAAAACAAAACAATACAAGCAAAAGCCCCAAATCGTTTAACAATTGAGCTGACTGTTTAATTTTTAAACTTCATATGTGAACTGTTCTCGAGAATCTGTTGAAAAAAGTGGCTACTTTACACAAAACTACACTCATTTTATTTTGTAAACAAAAGAAGGCTCGAAACATGTACACATTCTTTCAAGGTTGTTTGAATATTGAAAAAAATAATGACTCTAATAAAGTAGCAAGAAAATCAAACAAACAGACGTGTGAATTGTTGAATTAATTGGGTATTTTTATTTATTTATTTATTAGTTCATTTATTGTTGTTTTTGGTTTAGGCGGCAAAATAAAAAGGGTTTACAAAGTAGAAGTACTCTGACAAAAGATCACACATTAAGTAACATAGTATGTTTAGTGTCTCCTATAAAGTGATATTTAACTGTTTTGCATCATTGAATAACGTTCGATTTTGGTGGTTTTTACACGCGCTGTTTGGCGCTGACATTGTGACGTCACGTTAACACTTCTTGATGTTCGGATTTATTTTCTTAGTTAAGTTTAGTTTCTTTGTTATTTTCCCATTTTCTACTATTCTAGTTTCAGAGCAAAATTCAATAAAATATTGCTTCTTATTTTATTAGATTTTTTAAACAAAATGGCGCCGTCAATGAGTCGGTTTGCAAATACGGGAGGAAATAAGAAGGCGAGTGTATCTGCTATGAAATATATATCGCTTCTAGTCTTCTTTGTTTATACATTGTATATTAAGGGAAATCTCCGATTGTGTTAGAATGTTTAATATGCAAAACAGTTTTACATAAATCATAGCAATAATACACGTATATAATAGGTAACGTGTTTAAATACTGAAAACCATTGGAAACTTTGTCAATGAATAGAGGGTATTAAATGAGTGTAAGCTCAACACTGAATTTATTGCACGAGTTGAATAATTTTATTTTATTCAGCGAGTTCATAAATTCAGTAATGAACTTAGACGAATTTAATATTCTATTTATCACATACCTCAATTAAAGACCGTTTAAAGTGAAATAAGAGTCATTTTTCAATGACGAGCCTATAGTATAGCGCTAACATTTAGCGCGTCTTTATGCTATGTTTGTATAACGCTAATGGCGTCACGTCAAAATATATGCACGGCCGTGCAATACCATATTTACGGAGTCGCAAAATCGGCACGGCTGTGTGATGAAGGTGCAAAAGTGTGTAAATGTGGTAAATCCTTTTGTCTCGATGGAAAATTTATTCTCTTTATTGAAACAAATTGACATGCCTGTTGTAACGCACTCAGTTTTGACATATTCGGTTTCTCCAATATGATTCGCCCCACTTCTTGTAATGGCCAATTTTCTGAACATAATATTCTCTATGGCACATTCAGAAACTCTGCTATGGGATTGTTTGTCAATACCATTACATATTTTTTGTCAATAGTATTGTAATTATTATGGCATGTGTTTTGTGAAGATGAAAAATGAATGGATATTATCTTGCTTTTATGTTATAAATCATACATTATAAACTGTTACATTAGCTTTGATTTGTTTCATGAATATTTCATGCTTGTAAATAAGATCCTGAACAAAGTGCTTATTCCATGCAACAAACGCAACTTTATAGCAACAGGCAGCATATTATTTTTTATTAAATAGAAATATCATATGAATCACTAGTCAGTGGTAAGTTAATATGTGATCGAGTGTTAAACACTTTCCTAGCCGAGCGTATTGACACCTTTTCTTCAACAAGAAAATTTAAATTTACTGCTCAAGAGCGGAATTTTTCAAGAGTGTCTTTATTAGCTCACTGATCCATACACGATCGAACTTAAGTTAAATATATATTACCTAAAATACTAAGAACAAATGAACTAATCGAAAGTAAATGAAGGTATTTATGAGGCCAACGATTAGTACAAGAACACCTAGCGTCAATTATTTAAACTATAGAGTCCTAAAAGTTATTGTTTCTACATTTTCTACTACTATTTCTACTTATTTTGCCAAAAAATAAAGTTGCATACCAGGAAATCATGCCGTCCTGAAAAGCCATTACTGCAATACTGCAACGCTTTGTAACATTCATCTTAAATGACGTCATCTGCCTCCGTTATAGCGTTATGAAAGCTATTCTTTGGTTATAATTTACAATGTGTTTGTGAAATCTCTGGGATATAAGTTTGATACGCTCATTAAACATTTTTTTTTTCTGATGTATTTTAGTCACTTTTAAGCATATATGAATTTTTTTCTTGGTACATACATTTAACATGTTTGAAATGATATCTCTAATAAAATGTTCCTGACATAATTGTTTTTGAAACGTCATTATTTACAATCTAAACAAAGCTTCAATTGCATCATTTTTTTTATTTAAGATTATAACCGTCAGCAAATAAACACATGTTTCAACATAGAGCATAAAATTTCAAAACAAAAACAAGTTATATAAATATTTGGAATAAAGTCGGCAATCTTGAGAAGCCTTTAAGTATTTAGCATTTTCATATTTGCATTTAAAGCATCATTGTTTTTTTGTATACAAAACAAGTGCCTATCCATTAATCCACAAGTAAGCAATCGCGTATGCAAAACGTCCGTGCCATCTCAATTTAAATAGAAGTCTCAAACTAGCCAATGCACATGTAACATCTACAGTCATAAATAAATCATTTGCATTTAATAAATTCATTCAGTAGTAATAAATGCAAAATTGCAAGGCAATAAATTCAACTGGTAAATATAATACTATTGTTAAATGAAATAAAATAACATACATTACAAAAAAAATTAAATTGATAGTTTTACAACTGCATCATCAAAAGTCAACAATGGTATCATATTAAACGTTTTCTAATATAAGCAGGTAAGAGAAAACCGCTTCAGTCGAATAGGTGGCTATCAAATGGGATCGACCCATTACTTCTTGTTCAAATTACCCTTATTGCTAACACGTTTCTTTGAAAAGACGAAGCATTGTCAATATCATACGATTGATATGAAAATTGTCTTTCTGAAATGTGGCAATTACAAAAGTTTACGTAGACACAACTTAAAATGCATATATAATTTCATGTTACTATATCTTAAAGTCAAAGTCTTCGTTTTGAGATGTTTCTTCAGCACTAAAATATGACAGAATCGGGCAAAAGATAGAAATTGCCGCTCCCACTATAGCTAGAACGTATGTCCATCCAACGTGACATATTCCCGAGTTGAAAACATCAGCCTGCGCCGCAGTACAACAGGAAGTAGTTGGAGTCAAATCCAAGTGGAAAAACAAGAAGCCCAGAGGTCATCAAGAACACTGAAAATACATGTTTGTTTATCATGATAATAAAGGGCAATGTACATTTATGATGCAAAACACAACAACAGGAACATACTTAGACATATACTTATTTATACCTTGACAATTTACAAGATTTTATGTAAAAGTAATCCAACAGTCAAACTATTCTTTGGAATGTTAAATGAGTGAAGATATTGACTATGTACCGATTAAGTATATACATAAAGAAATTAAAGTGTAGTCTTTGGAATCTTATTGATATCGACTTAATGCGGAAATTTAACAAGTCATGGGACAGAGCAGCACTCAGTATATATTGAACGTGCGAATAATTGCCAATTCAAAGTTGAAGAAAAAAAACAACAACAACAAGTGCAAAGCAATACGGCTTAGAGTGTGTGTATTATTATAGTTTTATCGGGTTATCTAATGCACTGAAAGAAACAAGTGCATATAAAATATCAAGATAGTGACTATGGTGCAAATGGTTTTTGTATGAACTAGACCAATGTAATTGAACTTTGCTTGGTTTATCATTGTTGTTATTGTTGTATATTTACAGTTTACTACTTTCCTCGTATACATGTATATTTGCATGCTTTACACGCATAAGAAAAAGACAAGATAGATTATATTGAAAATTATAATTCAGTTTAAAAGAGAGAACTTTCAAAATTGAGTTTATGAATAAAAGTAAACAATGAAGCATTCAAATAAAATATTGAAAAGGAAAGATCCATCAAAGGCAATGAAAATCATATTTAAAAAGTTGAAATTGCGGACTCATTAAGTCGAGTCTCTTTACCAGCGCAACTTCTCCCACGCCTCATCCCAAACTCTTCAGCACTGGCTTAAATGCGACATACTTTTTGTTTCAAATGAATAAAATGTTTGTCTGTGTTCATTTCATGATTAAGCCAAAACGGGTAAAATACTTTTATCAAATCACCTTCGAGTTGATTTTCACATGTAATAATAGCCGCATAATATTTAGATTGTATAGTAGTTTATTAAAAGTAATAGTCAATTTTAGCAATAACATTCCATGATCTTTCCTGAACATATCCAAAATTTTAGTTATGGTGTTATTATTCGCCTTGTGAATTTATTGTGTATTATTGATACTATTAAAACTGAAAACAATGGCAAGATTGAAGTCAAACAAATTATAAACGTATGGACAACTATGTATTCTCAAGACATGCATTTTTAAACTTACATTTTAATAATTTAAACATATTTTTCAACTGAATGAAATGTATTTTGACCTAAATACCATAACAAAATTTATTGTGAAAAACCTAACATTAGTCGGATGTGAAGTAAAATAAGCTTTATTTTGTTTCCGTTCAAGTAAACTCATCATACTAGCTAGTAAATAAACGATCATATACCTGAAGATATTTGTAGATATCTTGTGGAAAGTACCAACGTTTTATTCCAGCTTTTCCGTACACACATTGTTGTGAGGGAACATAATGCTCCAAAACATGTGAACAATGATCCACCTCCATACAGCAAACACGCTGCTTGCCAAATCGTACATGGAATGTTTCCAAATCCAAAGCGGCCACCATAAAATCCACAAGTTCGTGAGAACTGGGCAGATCCTGCGCTACCGACACAGAAAGCATATATTCCAAACGCTTTCCGAACATTTGGATGTATTATCCACTCTGGTTGAAGGAAACAAAACGAACATGTGACAGACACAAGAATGGATAGAAGGATCCAGATATAGTGCACATAGTTCATGCTTTCGAAATGCGACCTATCTGAATAGTCGACCATAACCATTTACATCCCTTTACTACTTTACCAATAATTGAGCAATTTGTACTCATATTTTTATGAGTTATCAAATCGCCACTTCATCATGAAAATAAACTTATTCTTTCGTTTGAAATAATGAATTTGTAACACATTTTCGACTACGATCAGACGTTATGCAGAAAACACAGGATTCTTTATCCAGATTTTTATTCAAATTGTTATCTTCGCAAAGCTCCCTGTAGGAGTACAAATCCTTGGTGATCAAATAATTCTAAAATATCTCATTCTTTATCTATGGTGCTGGAACAGCATTCGCCTATTGATATTTCGTAATTCCCATCAATATCAGAACTGTTTTATTGAGCAGCGGTTTTCCCTCCAATACTCCAAATACCAGCAATAGTTTGTAAGTCTGTTTCCTAAAATAAGTAAACATTCCATACATATAACCGAATAACGATTTAAATAACCTTCAATAATATGAAAAACAACAAAGCTTAAATGAGACATTCAACAAACGTTTGTCTTATTAACTACACATACTGTACTTGATTTATTGACTATTAGTATAATTCAGAGATTTAAGTCACACTAAGAAATATAGTCAAATCTTGTCTTTATTCATTTTTCATTTCCTATTCAGTCATTTAAGTACTTTATAAAGAGTACTGTACATAGTATAGTCGGAATATATGCACAAACCTTCAACATTAATTTCAACAATATATCGGTACACATCCCCCTTTTTATCACCAATTACGAATAACATAGCAGTACACTAGATTTTAGAGTTTTTTCAATTCTAAATGCCTTACAATATTCCATTGGAGGTCCTTTTGGTATAATTTCTATTTTGATATATAATGTAACATCTACAGTCATGAATAAATCATTTGTATTTAATAATTCATTCAGTTGTAATATTAAATGCAACATTTCAGGGGCAATGAGTTAAAAAAATTGGTAACTATGATAGTATTGGTAAATGGAATAAATCAACATACATTTTAAATAAAAATCAAATTTATAGTTTTATAACTGCAATTATTACGTTTTTTTAATTGTAACATTTATAGTTTCATCAAAGCTCACTAACAATAATCACATGTTTTACATGTTTATAATCTAGTCTTTACTATTTATTTATTCCTTATTTTTACAAAACTGTGTATTGTCGCAATCACTTTGCTCAATAGGAAATCATTGTATTAATTGTTTAATATGTAAAATCCAAAACATGTCCAATGATTACATGTTTGTAATTCAATATCATTTTTGAATACAATTTATTTTCCTTTTTATGGTCAAAAAATAGTTTTCGCTGTAATGATATAAGCGTCTTTCATTTTTTTCAAAAAATTAAATCACTAATTTTCTGATGCTCTAACATGAAATAATGCTAATATGATAATTGTGTCTCCTTAAGATAAACACGCTTGACAATATTTCAGATAACTCAGAAATAAAGAGATTGTTCTATTCCAATATCGTGACAAACGTTCAAGGCACGGATATACATGTATATACTAACTATCAAATAAAAATCTAGAGCTGATGTTACCGTCTGTAGTGTAGGCTTGAGATCAAGGAAATACTAATAAATCACTGAAGACTTTTTGATGCACGATCAAAATCCTTTGCAGACTTATAAATAACCCTTTGTACAACTTTTTGTTAAATAAAATCACTGTCATGCAACTGTGTGGATTTTGTTTGTGATGAAAATAAGTTAAACAACATCTTTTGAAGCTTTTAAACATTATTCCCACTTTAGTATTAATTTGGAAAATAATGAAATAATCATCACTTTAAATAAGTTCATCTTTGAATTTAATTCATATACTTATATGGTATAAATATAGAAATATAGAATAAGTCATACACCGATATAAATTATCATAAATCATATAAATTAGTGTCGTCATTTAAATTATCTAGTCTATCCGCAGTAGGTAAACAGTTTTGGATAAATAACTCATAATGTATTGTTGTTACAATGTACGAATATTTAGAAGTACATACTATGTATGTATCTATAAGTATGTATTTTATTATAATATTATAACGAATACGAAGTAAAATTAATTACCTGTAACAAAGTTATCACCAAAATATTAATTCCAATTTATCACATCAAATAATCCATTCAAACAAAATATTGAAGAAAATTACAAAAGCTATAATTCTTTATCTCTATCAACAACAGGGCATGATTATCCAGATTTATATCTTAGAACACAATACAGTTTATTAACGATACTAATTGTTTGAACACATTCATAATAATAAGAGATTGTAGTATCCTAGTTTTCTACAATAAAACATGCAGGCAATCTCGCATATCGCCCACAAATGACAGGACGCGTTCTGTTTTTCAGAGGCTTTATGGCAAGAGAATCGTCCGAAAGCGTAAAACAGATTTCCAATATGATGTATAGAGAACGAACAGACGTGCTTAAAAATCTTTCTATTCTTTGCATTACTTTATTTCATTTGCATTATCGATAAGCCATTTTATTTTTTGAGGAAGTGAATTGAAATAAAAGAAATGTTTTAAATTCTTAATATTTTCTGACACTGATATATTTTCTTTAACTGTGTTTCAAGTGGATTTCAATTTCTCTAAAATATCATTTGCGGCAACTATATGTTTTATTGTGCTATATTTTTACTAGCATACACATTATATATCACAGAGCATTTAAACGCAGGTATATATATAAATATATATTAAAATTTGCCAATAATATAAGTTCTTTGAGCATCTTATTTAGGACATAGTACATAACGAGTAGCTTATTCTACAATAATCATTTCACTGATTGATATTCCAAGAACCCAAGAATTTTAATATTGCATTTGCTTAATCAATTGTGATAATCATGTGGTATTATCAAAACATTAATTATATTATAACAAATAAATAAATAACATTTATAGAAATACATTTGTGATTTTTTTCTTGGATTGTTTCTACGCGATTGCAAGTCGTATTCAAAATAAACAAAGATATTAAGAATAATTGATAAAGTCAAAAGTTGCAAATTCATCTATTTATATTTTTCTTTTGATTCCTTTTTTTTCTGAAAGTCCATTCATATCTTGCAAAGTTTCTTCCATGTAGATGAAACAATTGCATAATTTATTTCGCAATGGATAATATGGTATTATTTCATAAAAATTACATCATTATATCATATTTGAATTTCAAGTAAAAAAAAATATATTAAGTGGTTTTATCATGATATAATAACTAAGTGATACTGATAAAAACAGTTGACAATTCTTATGTAATAAGTACAAATCAGATAGAGTCATGTTTTGATGTTCTTTCTCTTTTGAATAAAAAAAAACGTTCCCTGTTGTCACGATCTTAAACCATAGATAAAAAGTAACCAATGAAAAGCACCTGAATATGAAATGTCTATCGCTATCCATTTCTCTGTCGTCAAAATAAGTAAACCCCATAAAAAATAAGCCGATTAATGGGCATGCTCTGGGATGTGGATAACTGATACCTGCACTCCAGTTAACTCACTTTGCATGTATATACGATTTTACTTTGACACATTTTCAACAGAAAGGTCCCCAAGCTATGATACAAAGAGGTGGTTATTGCACAGCTAATGTGGATTAGTTGAACAACATGATCAAGTATGACCAATGAATTATATGAAGAAAGTATTTATATTGACTTTCATTTCTAATGCTTCTGTATCACAACAGAAAAGAAATGAGTATGACTGTTATGAATCGAGGCGATTTACTAAACTTACCAATGTCAATAATTTATTCCTTTTTAAAAGATTTATATCCTTTGACCTAAAGTCTTAAAATATTACAAGCTGCGACACTTTAAACCATTGTTTCCCAGATTATGTTTTTCTCTATTTAAAGATATACTGTGCTCATCGTTGAGTAAAATATTTTAATCGGAGAAATTTATGAAAACCTATGAAATTCTTACAGAATATGTACAGTTTAACTAAAAAATGAATAATAAACTATATTGGAAGCCATGTTCTCTAATACATGATTAGTAAAATTGGTCTTTTCTTAAAAAAAACTGCCAGCTTTTTTAACGACACTATTATGTTCATATTGTGACGACCTATGTGTGTAGAGTTTTAAACATGACATATCAACTTTGTGTGAAGTCAAAACATGTTTATTTCATTTTTACAAAGAGACTGTGTAGCAATTATCAATATTTTCTGATATCAAATTTGAGCATAGTATATCTTTAAGGTGGATCTGTGGCCAAATAGGTAAGGTCTTTGAATTCAAACCTCTTGCTCCTCATCGCTGTAGGTTCAGTTAAAAAATATGTACACCTAAAGTACCATAAGCACGACCACACCATACAATAATTTACAGAAAAATGACTTTTTGATGTTTGTATTCTGAAGTATCAGACATGTGAAGACGTATCATCATCCTCAGACGGTGATATCCGGCAGATATTTATGAGGGAACAAGAGGTGGTGACAGACGATAAAATAAACAGTTATCTTCACTCTCGAGATAAGAGTCGGGAAAGAAGTAAAGCGCAGTCATGATCATCAGACACTTTTATTTCGCGGTACTATTCATCAAACTATGAACTAGACATATTTATTACAAATTAAATCTGAGTGATGGAATTCTTAAAATTAAAATATTATAGTAATTTTCATATTGCACACTGTGATAAAAGTGTTTGCTCAATTAAAATTATCTTCATGAAAAATTTTGATTGATACCAAAAGCTCAATTATCGATTTTTTTCTCTTTGCTATTAATACATTGTTTGAGTCATATTATTGAATAATACGTTTGCGTAGCAATGAAATGTACTAGTACTAATTTTAAAACAACAATGAAAATAAAATAATGCATGGAACTTTGTTTTGATTAATTTGAAATAACAAAGTATCTATTTTATTTAATCTTATATTGAACCACTATAAACTTAGTAACAATAATTTTGCTCATAAAAAATCCGAGTTACAATGTAAAGTCATTCTTCACTATGTTGAACAATAAACTATTGATCAAGTGGCGATATTTTAGCGATTCGACCGAATATGTCGGACTTATACGGTAAGATACGTTGTAAACTGTCCAAAGTAAATTGAACTTACAAATTAAACTTTCGTTTTTTGTACTTAAAGCTTATAGTTTGTTTAAAGTTACATTTAATAAATTTCATAAAAACAGAAATAACGACATTTCATTAATAAATTGGATTTTATATCGACTCCAGATGTTATTTTGGTGTCCAGACAAACAAAATGAGTTTTATAAGCATACAAAATGGACAACCTCATTGTGGCGAAATCAGAAGTACAATATATGTTTGCATGAGAAACTCCGCCTTCAGATCATCCGTACATCAATATCAAATCAACAAACATGACTATAAGTAGCAGTCCTAATTTAACGGTATATTTCCGCATTGTAACGGATGTTTTCATACAAATTTAATCTTTTTTTTATGAGATGATTACTTTTATCTGAACCTCAGGCCTAGTGCACCGGTGAAGTTAAACGGTTAGAATGTGTTTGCACAAGAATATCTCATATTTGTTGTGTTCCGGATAGCAGCTATAACACTGTGACGTAGCGCATACACAATCTGATTATAACCTTCATTTGCATGTTAAAATTCGTATACGAACTTTAGTGTTACCGTGGGGTTTTCCGTTTAAAATCCTTATTTATGAACAAAATTTGTTGAGATTTACAACAAAACTGTTAAAAAGGTTAATAAAACTTTAGCATGCTTGGTTTTTAGGCCGACGGCAAAAATATTTTTACATATTTATTTAATGTAACTTTAAAAAATTTAACCAGCGTTTTTCCCATTTTACAACAATTTTTTGAAATTATTTAATGCTTGTGAAGATAAATACCTATTTTTTGATGTTTCCTTTTTGCCCTTGAGAGGGGACTTGACTTCTGATTTGATAAAATAAACATTTACATGTATATATGCCTCATTTGATTATTTTCGCGGAAAACGATTTAATATCTAGCAAATTATACATTTTCATTATATTGATTATAATATAAAATCGAGATGGTCAAGTATTTAACACGACGGACCTAACGACTAGAAATCTAAGAATCGCTTGCTTATTGTGTGGGCTCAGACCCTGTATTTGTCAAGAGCAACTGTTTTTATATTGAGAACAAAACAATACATTCAGAGTTCAGTGAAACGGATTCAGGAGTATGTCTATAAGCTTAATTGTTCCTAAAGAATCAAAGAAAATATATTGTGTATAAACTAAATGATAAATGTTCTAAAAATGATTTGTTTCTTACATTTAGGAAACAAGTGATTACTGATAAATAATCACGTTATTTACATATAGTATCTGTCCAATCGGTACTCCTTTCTAATGGAGAAATATTGTAAATTATGCCTTACTGTTCTGAACAATATTGACAGGCCAAACAATTGAGTTATTAGGAACTGAGAAAATGAACCAATTTAAACAGTTCATTGCAAGACCGTCGAACATGTTTGTCACAATTCAATTACGGAGAGGAAAAAGGACCATATGCTTTGGACAAATGAGGACATGATTAAGAATGTCTTAAGATGGTAAGTTAAAATTAAACAAAACCATTTTACGAAAGTTCTTGGTTTGAAACAATCAATTTTATGCTTTACTGTATTTAATCAATTGTTTTTTTTTTTTCATAAATGAAATATTTATATTAGAAATGAACAAAATTACTTTAATTAAAATGAATAAATTTTAATACTTCCGAATTGATTTCACTAAATTAAATGATAATTCATTAAGTTTGAGGTGCGTAATAGGGCAGAGTGGTTAAAGTCGATGACTTCAGAAATCCTAAACCGGAAAATGAGCTTTACGTCAGAAAATAAATTACATTGTAATGGCAAAGGCACGATCATAACATACACTCCCCTTTACATTTTACAGAATAATGAAGATTTGTCGTTTTTATTGTGAAATACCAGACACAACATAAAATGACTTATCTTCATCAGACGGTGACATCCGGAAAATATTTATGAGTGAACAAGAAGTGACAGTCGATGAGATAAACAATTTGAACAGTATCACGTGTTTGTCTCTAGAGAGAAGTGTTGGAAAGAAATCAAGCACAGTCATGTTAATCTGACATTTTCGTTTCACTTTACTATTTATAAAACCATTAACTTGGCACGTTTATCACAAATCCAATCTGAGAGATGGGCTGTCTGAAAAGTTGAAATTAAAACAGTTGGTCTCATAATTAATGAAAGTAAATATAAAGATTAAAACGTGAAACGTTAAAAGAATGAATAAGAGAGCATCTAACTCCAATTTTCTAAAATATCATTAATTTTGTTAAACTGTGTATGTCT